GGGTAGACTGAATGTGAGAAAATATCTCTTCTCCAACCGTGTCGTGGAACCGTGGAATAACCTGCCCGAGACGGTTGTTATGTCTCAATCTGTGGAGACATTTAAATGTCGCCTTGACAGATATATGCTACAGCAACAAGCGGACTATGTGACTTTTTAACCATGTGACTAGTGACATATGCGAATCAATGTATGCATTCACTTAATGCTGTAATTTCTTCACATTTTTGTTTGTTTATCGATTTTTTATGTACAAATACGGAGTTCAAAGGCGTAAGCCTATTTCCCTCAAATACACTGACTGACTGTCTGTTCTCCACTCTGTCAGCACGAGTTGGCTTAAGAGGAGCCCAAAGTAACCCGTGGACTGTGCGCACACCAAGCTGTCTGGATTCCGTTCCCTGAATATGGCAAGGGAATCCACTGAGCACTAACACGGCCAAAGCATTTATACTGGATTAGCTCCCAAAACCCCATTTGGCGAACTTTTTAGAAGCTGAACGCTGTTGAAATGGCAGCAAAAGGAACCTGTCATACGTGAGGATGGAGTACTAAAGGCTTGTCGTGCAGACTCCATGTGTAGATTAGAGGACATGTGAGTCATAAACCGTGGTTAGGTCCTGACTAGAACCGTCTGCCGACGCTGAACAAAAACACGAAACTGCTGGTACCCCGGCTTTGGCCTGGGCACACGGTGACAAATAGCCCACAGGACATGTGTGGACGGTGTGCGTGAAGGGGTATAGCACTACCACCGCCCGTCTCCACGTGCGTTCTAGCACGAAAGCGCGCATTTGAAAAAGCCTACCGGGAACGCAGGAGTGCTTGAGGCGGAAAGGATTTTAAGAGGTGAGGGAGTCCATCTACTTCTCGGTCCAATGAGAGCGTTCGGGTCAGTTGCCAAAGTGCACGTTTGGCGTAGACCACCACTCTCCGATGTTCTCTTTGCAGAGGCGACGAGAAGGCGAAAAGCCACTGTAAACCCATTGGAGGACGGTTACTGTCGGCATGATGCCTGTCTGTCGGCATTCTCCTGCCCCCCTACTTTTCACCGTATGCTCCCAGCACCGCCACACACCCACGGAGGGTGGTAAGCGTGTAGGCAACCATGGGGACGCGCTCGCGCACACGGCAGCAAAAACAAACACGGACGCACGCATGTTCGCGCCCGTATGCGTCATCGTGGCAGCGGTCGGCCCGTCCCTCCTTTTGGCCTGCTTCTACTGGCTGAGGTGGCAGACAAACTTGGGCAGAGGGTGCGTTGTGCGAGGGGAAAGAAGAGGGCAAGAGACGACGGAACGAAAAAGCACGGTCCTCAAAACGGGTCTGCGTTGGCGCGGCGTAATAATTCCATCTGCGCGTCCGCGGTATGCCCGCCGCCAATGAAAGCATTTCGGCCAGTAAACATTGCCACCAGCAAGGCTCTAACGAAGCACCGGGCGACAAAACAGCATGAACTAGGTTGCCGATGGTGAGATGCAAAATCAGCACGATGCGTCACGCCTACGACAGGTAGCCGCCCAGGCGGAGGCCAGTGGCCGTAAAATTCCCCGAAGAATTAAGTTTTTCGGGTGGCAACAGAGCGAGGAATGCCTTACATGAGGCAGTGCTTGACAAGCTGGGCTCACTTGTTTACGACGCCTGTGTCCTTGTGTGTGTGTGAATCTCTCAGTGCTCCGTAAATATAGTGGTTAAGTAGTCGGGGTGTTTGATCAATCAGAAATTCCGTTTGGTCGAAGAACGCCGACAGACCATTAAAATAAGCTGATCAGGCACTGGCTTTCAAAATGAGATGACTTGTTATCAGGCTATATCTCGCTTGTCAATGTACCCCAGGTCGGCTTATATAATGTGGGCGACAACACGCACAGCCGCAGGAAGCGCGTTAGCCAGGCTTGAGCAGATTTCTGACGTCGAAAAGTACAAAACGATACCAGAAAAATCAGGCATAGGCGGCAGTAAAATCTTCAGGATGATAAGTCCACCCGCCTTCGAGAGTACTCTATGCATCCGGTTAGAACAAAAGCCGGTATCTGACCGCTTCCCTGGCACGCTCGATCCCCGTGCCAAACATAATCGTGATGGCCCAGATCGCAAAGTCCAACAACCTTGACTATCTGCTATTCTGCCAATTTCCATCAATATCCTCATAAAAAAGTGGAAATGACGGGCTCATGCCTTCACCTCACAACAATTCGGTATTCTGTATGGCTTTCGACAAGGTCGCATCTGGATGCCCACTCTGTTTGACTACATCATTTAATGCATTCCCTGGAGGGATCTACGGTATTTAGGTGTGAGGTTTGCATCAGGACGCCAGCTGGCCATCATCGGCTACGCAATGTTGCCCTATAAACATGAAAATATGGTGATCTACCAAGTCTAGTCTGAATGAGTTCGTTGAACTAATCGCCTTATCTATGAACGTCACGAAAACCAAAGCACTCTTGAGCTGCACCTCGAATCAGAAGGTGGCCCCTGCTGTTAGCAAGGGCTGTCAGCCCAAAAATAGTAAGCGGTTTTAAAGAACCTAATGTTGTCAAATATTGACAAAGAGGCAATGCAGGGACGAGGTTAGTGGAAAGTAGAATGATTTCTAGCGTATATCGACTTCGCCTCGAATTATACGGCCCGCAGTCGTCACAACTCGACGGGTTGGAGTATTTTGGAAACGTTGCTCGTTGCCCACCAGATGAATGAGGGTGCGCCCCAAGTTCGAAGCGGATACCTAAATGGGGAGGAGGGGGCGGTGCAGGGTTTAATTCAGCAGCCTCTGAGCAAACCGCCGAGAAATGTGGGTGTTCCTTGGGTTCTTGGTTCTCGCTGATGGAGGAGAAAATCGGTCAGATTCTAGACGCATTGGCGCTGTGGCAGGGAAGGGGGGAGGAGGGCGAAGCGCTGTGCTGCAAACAGATCAGGCTTGATTATGGTTCTATTGGATATGAAGGACTGGCGGGCCCCCACCATCGCAGTCAAACTAGTTGCATATTATGGTGGCGTTCTCTTTTTAAAATACTGTCAGGGCGCTACTTATGTTGCAAAAGGGGCACGTTTCCATCAAATCATAATTTTGCACGCTTCCACACCACTTCATGACAAACGGAATGGGTCAGATAGGCATATACGTGCATCATAACACCCCAGTTAACGGTTGTCAACGAAGCAGAGCTATTTTTGTCGCGTAAACAAGAAATACAGTCCGAAAGAACAGCATTTAAAGTTGCAAGAATAAAATGAGTTGGTTGGTGCTGCATACAGACAACAAGCATCATTCAAAGTGTGTCTTTACAGGGATAAGCGGGGTCAAGTCATCTGACGGATTAATGACAAGCAGGCTGACCGAGGAATCATGTGCACTAAGCCAGCGATCGAATCTGCATGTTTAGAACAGATTGTCGGTCATGCTGAGGGTGATGTGAGACCTACGGAATCGCCATCGCTTTCTAAGGACTTCGAGTGCATGGTAAACACACAGAGCGACAGTGCGAGGAATTCAATTCACGTGACTAATAAGACCGCTATCGAATCGGCCAAACATGGAAAAGCTCCGTCTTGTAAAAAAACTCAAGGACATGGCATTTGTTTGCATATAATTAGCCGTGCTAGGGATTCAAAAAACAGACTAACGTAAGTAGTTCGCATCACAGTCAAACACATCCTTACTGGTGACTTGCGGACTAAACAAAACCATCTTACCAGCCGAGCCCACGGCAATTACTGTGTAGGGATAAGCATAACATCATCCTGGTCAGACCAAAATGTAACTACCCCCTCTGATATCCACACCCTGGACCGCACTGTATCCCCCAAAAATATCCCAACGTCATTGTTTAATACTGCTAGAAATGCCTGTGATAACGATACTGGCGGAACCAACCCCCAATAATGATATCCTATGCTAACGCGCACGTTTCCGAAGCGTCCACTTCCTACTAAACCGTGAGCCGTTTAATCACTAAACCTTGCACGTATAAGTGTGTGTAGTTATGACTAAATCTTGAACCATGTCGATAGGAGCAGATGCCCATTATGTTGCCGCATAAAGTTGTCAGGTTTTCTTTTCTGTGGCTTTATAGCGCACGTTGCTACCTCATCAATAAGTGAGGCTAACGCAATCCCAAACGTATTATTTTCGGAGTAGACAGTCAAACATGGGCTGAGGAGATGGATACGGCGAACACATCCTTCATGGTATCATTTTCGATAATCAAATGCATACGTCTCCCCAAACGAAAGAACGTAGCAACCAGATAAGCGTAGGCGATATTGTAGTTTTCCCATCATCTTTACCACCGACGAGGGTAGCCACCATAACGATTAGTGCTAAGTGCGACGCATGGGCCATTTCCGATAACCGAGAACTTTACCAGCCAGCATCGATGCCGAAGATCGAAACAGCGATGAATCAGCTGAACGGAACTTCAAATTAACCGATACAAAATCTCGACAATGTCGAGTGAACGACGCTAAGTTGGGCTCAAAAAATCGACTTTATGAGACAGAAGTTTGTACTTTTTGAAACGCTGTAACTGGGGATTACTAAGTGCGCTATAACTTAGCCGAAAAGTGGCAGCTTTTTCGAAAGATTGCACATAGAAATTAAATAAGAAATTATAGTTTAAAATGTCAAGGATGTGGCATTTCAGCAGAAAGCACGAAAAACAATGACACATTACATTATCGCTTCCACGTAGACCGACAAGTTCGTTCTAATTTGGCCTAATGTCAGAGGATGTGATTTGGATGCTGCATTGCTATAAGCGACTGTTAATCGACATCGGTTTCGAAAAAGAGTCTGCCTTAAGACCTGTACGGAAAACACCTCTTGTATGTGATCAGGGACTATTCACGGTCCATGAGTTTAAAGTGGATGTAGACCAGGATGGAGTCTACGTTACGTGCGATAGAGGACTACGAACTGCAGTAGTCAGGGAGGCAAACATTGAAATTAAGGATTCAGGGGAGAACAAGCCAGTTTTTTAAATCATTTATGGCAAAACTTACGCGATTTTATTTTCGGACTGAACGCGGTCTATGGCAACTATGTTAGCATTGTCGCACCCACTTGATGATTGAGCTTTCGGTACGGTATCAGAAGACTCTGAGTCCTGGCATGGCCTAAAGCGACTTTGAGAGAACTCTTGACTTCGAGTCGGCTCCAATGCATCTACAGCAACCTTATCAGGAGGGAGCCCGAAGTTTGCTGGCAACGTAGGTGACGAAGAGGATCCAGTAAGAGAGGCAAGAACTGCCTGAGTCAAGTTTGACCGGCCATGCAGCGAGTCTCCCTTACAAAGCAATTTTTTGATATCCAGTAACGGAGCACCCTCCTTCTCCAAGAACTCGGACAGCACAGGCTGGATGCGTGCGTATGGGAATTTGAAAGGTTCATCAGTATTCTTTTCAGCAGTTCCAGTAGTGCCCGCCGAAGTGGAGGGTAACTGAGCGGTTCTTGACCCTCCAACTGGACTGGCCGGTGGTGCAAATTGATTTTCAGATATATTTGACTTCTCAGCGAGCTCGGCTACATCCTCGTCCGCGGTAATGCTGGGTTGGGGCCGGTGGGCATCAAAGTCGGGTCCCAACGACGATGCCCGTCCCAAAAAGTTCGTATGTGTTGGGTCTTTGGTATCAAGCGAGCAAATCTGGTCGTCCGAGCCGAACTGTGATGGTTGCCTTTCACTCGCATAACGACGCAAGTAAGCGGCAGATGGGTCAGTTATCTTGGCGGTCCCACCTTTGGTAACTCGCATATGTGTTGCACTTTCTAACTCCTCGGAGGACTGTGCGGAGGCCGTATCCGTTGAGGTCGAAGCGATTCCGAGGTGAAGAGTCGCAGTAGACCTGCCCTCAAACATCTCGGTGAGATCGGACTGGTGACCAGGGGTAAAACTGGTAGGATTGGAAGGCCCTGCCACGGCATCCTCTTCCTCGTTATGATGGAAGGCAGCAGCAACATTTGGGGGCTCGCTACCGGAAGAGGCCCTGCCTCTGATGTGTTTACCAATTAATGGCCTACGCGGCAGGCCGAGGTGGCCTGGAGGGATTGAGCTGGGGACTCGAAGACCATTGTCCCAGGCGGAAGTTAGGCTTCTCGTGTTGTAGCCCTGCATGGAACACGTCTGGTAGGCAGCCGCAGCAGCTTGGAGAAAGCCCGAGATAAGCGAATGATGGGTGAAGGCACTCTCTGACAGAGGTTTAGATGGCTCTTGATTAGCCGCCACCCCCTCGTTAGCTGGTGACAAGCGACTGCTCACTCGGTGCTGTTTTTTAGCACATTGGCTACCTACGGGGTAAAAGTATTGTATCAGGCCTGCGTACAAGGAGAAATAATGAGAGTAACAGTTGTGCAGACTTACCAGCGCCGCTAGGGACGAAGCAGTAAACGCATCGCCCTTGCTCGATGATGATACGGTCTTGAGAGAAAGCATCTGGCTTTGCTGACAAGTCGGAAACCCAGTCGGGGACGGCTTTAAGGCGACAGTCGTGCAAGCATAGTCGGTTTGAGTTCCACTGCTCCACGGTTTCCCTTATCCGAGTCTTTCGAAAACGAGACGCTGGCTGTAGGAGAACCGAAAGGGCCGAAAAAATTGAACGGGCATTTTGCGTATCCGATGCGGGTCGCAGGGGCTCATTGGTGGTTTCACTCGTCTCTTGAATGACTGATTGCATGGAGGAAGTAATCGGTAGGGTTTGGGGGACAAAATCTCGTGGAATTGGTGACTCTGTCTTTTGATTTGGCACAGAGGACTTAACACAAATGTTGGAGGGAATGTTACTAAAACTCTGGTAATCAGTTGGTAGGGGCTCTGAGGGATTTATGTTACAGGGAGTGTCGGCATCCATCGTGGAAGGGCGCAGTAGCTGCCTCGTACAGGGAAGGTTAGAAGGTCCTTCAACTTCCTCGGGAGTAAGGTCTGATTGACGATCTGCAGGGGGACGGCGGTCGACTGGTTGGGGAGTTTGAACATTCAAAGGCAGTGGCGTACAGTCTGAAGTATGGGCACCTGGGGTGCTCATAGTTGCTCGTACGCCAGGAAGGAGGGCGTTGTTGGAAACAGTCCATCCATCAGATTGTATATTTTGTCCCGCCAGATCACTTGGGAAGGTGGAAACAGCAACAGGAGTTAGCAGGCCCGCGGACTGGGGAGTACTCAACCGCCCATTTATATATCCCAAGCGCTTTGCCTGAATAAAAATGAAAGACTATGCAAACGGTACTATGCACATAACAGAACATGAAAGTGACTTAACCTGTCTTGACAAGATCATGCAACCAGAGTTCACGGTGCTCACTTATGTAGGACCAGTCCAGCAATGGGGATTGGGTGTGATAAGATGCATGCACAACTACTTGAAGCAAGTCACGTGAACAAGCCAAAGACGGTATTTAGGTGAGGACTCGTCTACTATGCTATCTGCGGCGGAACGTATTCAGGACTAGTGGTTTGTCGTGTGTACGCAAGCGATGATGTCGTTCTAGATCTAGAGGACATAAAAGGACCTCGGGTATCACAGCAAAGGTTTATTGGCCGTAAATATGCTATCTGAGCGTGAGTAAGGACCATTACACCTAGTTTGGAATTTTTAAAAATAAAAGATCATATTATACTAGTAATTTCTGACCTAGATACGAACCCCGGATAAGGTTTTAAAGTAGTACCCACCTGCGCAATTTGTACCAGGTCGGAGTGGGGATAAACCAAGGATGACTTCCTGACGTTAGACAAAGGGACATCTGCGCCTAAAGCACTCTCGTTTGGCTCAGAGTGGCTGCTGGTACCATCCTCTTCGTCATCATACTCCTCGGCTTCTAAGGACGCTGTGGACGTGAACTGGCTGCGCCCGTACTCGCAGCTATTTCCACGAGCTCCCCTGTGGTTCAGGTCCGGAGAGGACCTAGCTATACAGCTGTCATCGAGGCATGGTTCAAGAGCAGATGCTTGAGAGTAACAGGGGTATCTGTCACTTCTTTTGCTGGAGTGGTGTTTCACACTAAGTAACATGAATCCCGAACTGCTTTCTTTTTGAGCAACTTGCATTGGAGAGGCTTTGGACGGCTGTAGCGAAGTTTCCGGCAAGATAGGTGATTTAGTTTCTTCGATTGGTAAACTGGGAGCATGGGCTTTGTCTGGTTCAGAAATCATTGCCCCAGAGCTATTCGGTAGTTCTGTGGAACTGGGAGGAGAGCCGACCATAGCACGAGGCAGCCCATACTGCGAAGATTCGAGTGTAACAGTTTGACAGATAACCTGTGCAGAATAAGATTTCGGCAACTACGACGCACGGGCTCGCGCTCCTACCTCATATTAGAGCGCGCAAGAATGTGACAACGGCAGAGGGGACGACTGCACGTTAGCTTCATTGTTGCTACTATTAGCACTATTGGCTAACTTAAGACTATTCACCCCAAAGTTCTGACCAAGGACCTAAAGGCAATGTATATTCGGAATCTCGCAGTGCCGTGTCAGTTGCGTTTCCGATTAACATAGTTATAGCAAAGCAAGTATGCTTGCTTTTGACGTTCAGAAGACTTATAATGTGAAATCCAACCATTCACTGTTGATTTTACCCAGGATTGAATTCGAACTGTGTATTTTTCAGGGAATTGTTCAACGGAGTCATTTATCGTAATGATAAGCGGTTCCCTCTTTTGATGCCCACTTTAAAACTGACATTGTGACAACCGCCAAAACTGACAGCTAATATACATTCTAGCAGGCTGAAAATGTTTGAGCCTTTGGATATGGCGAGCACATCGGCCATACGCACTTACGACGCAGACATACCTGCCAACAGGTTATCCCAAATTTACCATCGGGCCACGGTTGGACTAGGTGTGGTCATGGACTAACCTCCCCCTGGATTAATGCAGAAGCAATTCCACGATTCGAATCGGCATTCAACCGCTAAAATAAACTATATTAACACTAACATACACGAAACTAACTCTATGGTAAGCTAGTACTTACCGCGAATATCTGGTGTGCTATTCCTGTTGAGGACTACAAAATCTCGGTATATATTCCATGGCTAGGCTTGTCTTGCCAACTAAAATCCCTCTGCATTCTATTTCGTTCCTTGCCAACACGTAGCCCAATCTTACTATTGCCATACCGTGGCCCGACCTTGTGGCCCAACCCAGCTCACCTGGGTCGGATTGGGCTGGTGCTGTCGGAGACGGATTACTAGATCTGAAAAGCCACCCAGGGTGCGACTGACAGGGCGAGTTCCCAGGGAAATCTTCGCCGACTAGAAACCTGGTTTCATCGCTGTCCCTTATTGACTAATTTGACCGAGTGTACCGTACTACGTCTTGGAAATCAGAACGAGGTCCCGGTGTGAGGACTTATAATGAAATGGTGAAATATATTGTTTTAAGTGGTTCAGTTCAGTTCAGTTCAGTTTATTGAGGGAAATAGGCGTAAGCCTTTGAGTACCCTATTTGCAACGTAAAAAAATTGTGGTGTACAGATAGATGTTCTGGGCTGAAATAGTTCGAAAACGCCCATAATGGTGGGACAAAATGAGAAGGAGTTACAGGGGATGAGCTCGACTTCTCATCGCTCTTGGTCATTTCGGAACATAAATATGTCCAGATTCTTCTTAAAACTTTGTATAGTTGGTGACATCACAACATCTGCGGGAAGCTCATTCCATGGTTTGACCACCCGAACCGAGAAGGAGAACTGGCGGATCTGGCTGTGTTGCCTAGGCGAAGTATGCTACATTTGGCAACGTTGAACCGCAGGAGCCAACGGCTTGACCACTCCTCCAACCGATTCAGGTTCATCTGCAGTCTGTCTTCGTCGGCAGGACCCCAAATTACACTCCATATCTTCATGTCATCCGCAAACATTGCTACTTCACAGTCTAAATCTCTTGCGGCATCGTCCACGTAGATAAGGAACAAAATGGGTCCCAGTACTGAACCCTGGGGGACACCACTCTCGACCATAGCAGGGTCTGATTTTCCCCGACCGACGCACACAACCTGGTGTCGACCCACAAGGAAGTTTTCGATCCATTTAAGGAAGTTGCCACCGATCCCTATTTTTTCAGCTTATGTAAGAGCCTTTGGTGTGGCACAGTGTCGAAAGCCTTCTGGAAACCGATGAAGGCTATGTGGACCGCGTGCCTGTCGTCGAGAGCTCGGGTCCAGCTCTGGAAAGATTGCAGCAGGTTTGTCGTGCGGGATCTTCCTTTTCGGAACCCATGTTGGCATTTCGATAGCAGGCCGTGAACTTCCAGGAATTGCATCAGTTCAGTATTTATGATCCTTTCCATAACTTTGCAGAGAATGCATGTCAAGCTTATGGGCCGGTAATTTGTCGTCGCTGCCCTGTTACCTCCTTTGTGTAGCGAAGTAATATGCGCCAGCTTCCAATCGACAGGAAGTGTTCCAGTGTCAAATGACGTTTGAAAGAGCATCGACAAAGACCCACAGAGCACACTGGCAAGTTCCTTGAGATGCTTGGGTGGAATCTCGTCTGGTCCTGGCGACTTCGATTCGTTCAATGCCTCTGATTCTCTTCGGACAATGCATTCTGAGAAGAGTATATCACTGACGCTTGGAGTCGGCAGTTCTTCTGTGGAGGGAGGAAGGAACCTTGCATCGTTTGTGTAGACTGATTGGAAAAACCGTGAAAAATACGCAGCTTTATCCCTACTATCAGCGATCTCAACGCCATCAGTAGTCTTTATCAAGGGGATTTGGTGCCTGTTCCTTGTAGTTCGTCGGAGGTAGCTGTAGAGCAATTTTGGGTTCTGCGTTGCTTTTTGTAGCAAGTTCTTCTCGAATTCCCGCCGCGTCTGCATTATCAGCTTCCTCAGTTTGTTCCTCTGTGTCTTGTAGGTGTTGAAGCATTCAGCTTGTCTAGTGACGCAGTATTTTCTCCACAATTTGTGCTTCCTGTTGATTTCTTTCTTGAGGTTACTATTTAGCCACCCAGGGCGTTTGTTCAGTCTTACACTAGTCAGTGGGCAGTGGTTGTTGATGAGCTGCAGAAGGACATTCTTGAACAGCTCCCAGTCATCGTTGGCACTTCCTGTGAACAATGAGCCCCAGTCAAAACCGGATAAGTCTTCCCTCATCTGATTGAAGTCGCCCCGCCAAACATTCCGTCTTTTGTGGTCTGGAGTATGTGAAATGGAGAATAACGAATAATCCCACATAAGCACTACGTGGTCACTTCGGCCAAGCGGCGGCATGGAGGCGATCTCGTCTATGCTGTCTGGTGTTTTCGTAAAGACCAGATCCAGGCAGTTTACCCTTTGTCCTTCACGTGTTCTCGTTGGGAACATTACACGTTGTGTGAGGCACGCATGTAATGTTTTACTCAACAGGCGGTAATCGAATGCCGATTTTGGACCTGACGCTTGGAGGGTATTCCAGTTTGTTCCTGGTGCGTTGAAGTCGCCCATGATCATGATGTTAGGTCGACTGGAAAATTCCTCCAACTGCTCCAATAGTTCAGTGTCGGCGATTCGGTCTGTCCTTGGTGGTCGGTAGACAGTGTGGACATCGAGACACGGGGAACCGGTAGGCTTGATAGTCAACCAGATAGCTTACGTACTGCACGCAAACTTGGTGGTGTTATCCGACACTGTCAGACCGTCATTCACATACACAACGATACCACCACCCTGACGATCTTCCCTGTCCCTCCGATAAATTTGGTATCCAGGCAAGGCTACTTCGTTATCGCTAATATTCTCGGACAGCCAGGTTTCAGTTACTGCTAAAACATCTGGAGACAGCTCAACAAGGCAAAGTTTTAGTTCGTCTAGTTTCGATATGAGGCTTTGGGCATTCGTGTACAAGCACCTCAGTTTAGCACCAGCCGAATTTCCCGTTGCATTTGTTACTGCCGTGAGCATTACTCCGTTATCGCGGACGTCGTGTTCTCTAGGCTCTTCCGTTACCTGATTGGTTCCGTTTACATGCCTTGTTTCAGTCAGATCACTGGACGCTACGGGCTCACTTGTGTTGGCGCCTTGATCAGGTGGTTCAACGAAGGTGTCTGTTTTAGTTGAGTAGCTGTCGTCGTTCGTAGTATTACAGGCTGGTTCCACTGAAACGGCATATATTTCCGATCTACCTTCCCCTTGAAGATAGCCAGATTGTGTTCGCCATCCTTCAGTCTTGATTTTAACTCCAAGACAAGTTCCCGGCGTTTCAACCGTTCCGCTGGTGAATAGTCCGGTTGAAAAAAACCTGCTTGCGTGTGTTTCTGAGATCGGTTTTTTTAGAGAGGATAAACTTGATTTGATCTTTGTTCTCCAGCATAATTTTGAGAGGGCGAGGTGGTTGTGCTACTGTCCTGTCTTCACTCCTTTTTCCTATCCGGAATACTTTCAGAACCTTTATTTCTATGTCTACCGGCAGTAAATGATTTAGCAGACCATGAAAAGGAGCAAGGTCCTCTGAGACACGGTCTTTAGGTCTGACTGCATTCGATTCTGACAAACCCTGAATAACCAGACACTGCTGGCGAACATGGTCCTCCTTACTCTGTCTTTCCGGTGAATGCGTTGCATGTGGGCGAGGACGATTTACGGAGTCATCGCTTGGACGCACAATTTTACTGTCTACGGACTGTCCCGAGCAACCCATCAGGGCTGGCTGTTACTTCAGAATCCTGTCATGGCGTTTCCCTCTCCCCTCTACCCACGGGTTTATGTCTTCGCATTCAGCTACGTGCTCTGTAGTGCGCTCAGGGTGGTTGCCAGAACAAGAGGGCAACAGTAGACTGGATGACCCAGGTATATCGTCTCCAGGCAGAACAGAAATCCTATCATTTACAGCAAGAGGCTTAGGTGAGATGGCTTCCGCGACAGGTAATTTTTTTGCGACATCGCTTAAGACATCTTGCGTGGGAATCGAGTCTCCCTTTGTCGGCGGCTTCATTTTCATTGCCCTGCTGTTACCGGCGTCTGCGGTTTTGGCTGTTGAGTTGCTACTCGTGTTCGAAGATTCCCCCGGGTAGATATTTTTTCGCGTTTTTTTGCGTTTTGCTCTTCGTTTTTGGGATTCTACCACTGGACACGCTCTGGCCGACTACGGTCTGTTTCACGAGCGTCCTTAAATCAGCAAGCTCCTTTTCCAGTTATTCTACTTTGATTTGAATATCTGCGCACCCACCACAAGGCTCGTCTTCGTACCTCACACTTTTTGCGGTATCTACGCTTTTTGCAC